AGGAGTGAAAGTATTCAAACTCATATTACTTGTATTTATATATTTATTATATATTCTTATATAAATTCAATTTAAACGGTTCAACCAGTGACTTATTAACTCGATATCTTGTTTGTTATGATAATCGATTCGAGTTTAATAACATTATTTGCCACTGCATTGTTAACATATAAGGAGAAAAATAAAATAAGTCTATTACATTGGTGGCAGCAGTACATAAGTCATAAACTAAAACCATTTATGGTTACATCTAAGAGGCATCATTAATTTAATACTAAATACAAACAACGACATCATGTTATGTCCAAGCAGAAGTTAGATGAAATCTTAAATTTAAAAGAAAAAGAGTGCATAATATATATATGTGACCAATTATTTTCCCATGTACATATTTATATTTCCTTGGTTTCAGTTCTTCGGCTAAACTGCAATAATTCATACTTGTCTGTACAATAGGGTTCATATTTCGCAAGCAGATGTAGATTTATCCAAGAAGTCATTACGTTTTCTACAGTCATGCTTCCCATGCATAAATTTTGGGTGGACCAACAACAAGTCGACTACATTGTTTCAGACAAGTGACAAAGACCCAGATCCATTTTATTTACCGTTCATTTTTCATTGTTTGCCAATCCAACTTAGCATTGCAGATTCGTGCATATTTCTTATTTGACTCTCTCTTTCACTCATTGTTTCTGGAATTTCATTTGCCATCTTCACGGGCTAACAAATTATTATTTTTTCCAGCATAGCCTTGGTCTTTCTGTTGGGTTTCCTCTTTCAATGCTAAGCCTAAGCTCGTTGAGAGTTTCCTAAAAATTCTAACCCTAGATCTCACCTCCTCTATATATTCATTAGTTGTAGGTGGAGGCTAGGTTAACTGAATGAAAGAGAAAAATTTAAGATATCTCTAGATAGAGTTTGAGTGAAACAGTTTGATTATCATCATTGTTGAGGAGGTTGAGTTGACCACCACATTGGTGATTCTGATTATTTGTAACCATTATTTTCATAGTGAATTTTTGATTTGGACTAAGTCTCGTGGGTTTTTACTTCTTCATTGAAGAAGGTTTTCCCACGTTAAATCTGGTTGTGTTCTTCTTCTCTCTCTCCTGTTTTGTGATTTTTCGTTTTGATATTTCCGCTGCGCTGCCTGACCTGGTGAAGTTCAGGCCGAGGTATTGCCGAGATCCGAGATCAGGATCTTGTTGATTGACTTCCGCACAAAGGCCCCTAAGCCGACCTGAGGGAACCGAGTTTTCCCAACAGTGGTATCAGAGCCGGTTCCAGCAAGGAAATTTGAAGACTGCTGTGAAGGAGTCGGGTTGATGCTGAAGCCGACGCATTGAAGTCGGAGGGGGAGATTTGTTGGGCTTCCTCCTTCAATGCTAAGTCCAAGTCCATTGAGGGGTTTCCTAAAAACCCTAACCCTATATCTCACCTCCTCTATATATTCATTAGTTGTGGGTGGATGCTAGGTTAAGTGAATGAGAGAGAAAAAATTGAGAGATCTCTAGAGAAAGTTTGAGTGAAACATCTCTAGGGTAGTTTGATTATTACCATTGTTAGAGAGGTTGAGTTAACCACCACATTGGTGATTCTGATTATTTGTAACCATTATTTTCATAGTGGATTTTTAATTTGGACTAGGTCCCGTGGGTTTTTACTTCTTCATTGAAGAAAGTTTTTCCACGTTAAATCTGGTTGTGTTCTTCTTCTCTCTCCTGTTTTGTGATTTTTCGTTTTGATATTTCTGCTGCGCTGCCTGACCTGGTGAAGTTCAGACCGAGGTATTGCCGAGATCCGAGATCAAGATCTTGTTGATTGACTTCGCACAAAGACCCCTGAGCCGATCTGAGAGAACCGAGTTTTCCCAACACCTTCATGTGACTTTTCACACCAAGTCATGGTCCAACCGTCCAAGTCATTATGATCAGGCATCCTTGTAACAATTGTCATGTCTTAATATATGTTAATGAAACTGCACATAAAAGTGCCAATCCGGTTGTGGGGTCCACAAAGTGTTTTTATTCGGGACAAGCACCATCAGGAAGGGTTTACAACGACACCCCCTAATTACTACATCTTCCATTTGCAGTAAGTATCCCATCGTCCTTATATCCTAATTGCATTTTTGTCCACTCTAGCCGCATTGTGTGCATTGGGCATCCAATGACGGCCCCTCAGGATGTTTCATTGATAGGTTTATGTATAAAAAAAGCGTCTGTTGATTTGATTTCCACCGAAAATAACAATGGGAGCTATAACCTTACACAAGGAAATGAGAAATGAGTTACTGTACTTGAGATGAATTCTCTACTATTTATTGATTTTTTTATCTGGAATAAATATATTAAAACCCACTCGTGACCATAAAAAAGACATTTTCTAAAGGGTCTTAAGTTAAGAGAGGTTGCCCAAGCAATTTCTGCAACTCTTCTAAGCCACCTATAATAATAACCAATTGAAATAGCTTGTTGCGTCACCACATGCAAGCAACTTACAGGGGCATCTCTCAAAATTGATCATCCGTTCACTATAAATCAATTTATTAAAATCGACCCGGTCCGTTCGAGGTATTAGAGTCATTGAGTCACTGATTCAACTGCATGACTTGATGATTATATGTAAATTTATAATTTATATTAAAAAATTATAAACATACTCAAATAACTGAAAAAAATAATATAAATTTAAATATTTTAATATAAAAAATAATAAATTACACATTAATTATTATCCAATAAAGGATCAAACAAACATATAATGCTTGTGATATTGGTGTTTCAGGTTCAGTAAACGACATCTCTGACTATAACTATAAATCAAATCAAAATTTTCTGCATTTTGCATAACTGAGATAATATTAATATTGTAAGTATATAATTTATGTAAGTCAGTAAACAATAGATCGCTCAAATATGTCAATCATGATTTTTTTTGAGAATTTTTTTTAAATAAATCTGGTCGGGTCACCGATTTTCACCAAAACCGGTAACTGAGATAATATTAATATTGTAGGTATATAATTTATATAAGTCAATAAACAATAGATCGCTCAAATATGTCAATTATGATTTTTTTTGAGATTTTTTTTTTAAATAAATCTGGTTGGGTCATCGATTTTTACCAAAACCGATCGGCTCGCACCGGGTCCAATGCATACCTGATCCACTGCTTCACCCGGAACAGTTATATGACCGGTTCACCGATTCCCGGACCAATCCGGGTTTATTAACAATGCTATAAATACAAGTGTTCTAAACATAAGATATACATTTTTTCTAAATGAAGAAACCTGTTTACACTAAATTTGACTGACTTGAGCATTAGAGTATCTTTCAGATACAACTCTAACATGTTCCAATAAAGACCCCTAGGTTGAATTGAAGTTGCATGAAATCACTCGTGTAGAGAAAGATTATTATGATCAGCCAAGTAAAATTGGTTTTGATTGTTTCATTTTAGGGGTTTATTAGTCTCAACTCTCAAGTAACACGAAAACAAAAATTTGTTCCTCCACACTTAGTCAAAATCGAGACCCACCAGGTGAGAAAAAAACAAAGAAAAGAGAGAGAAAACATTCACTTATCGATGTGGGGGTTACTTGATATAAATAAAGGGTTTTATAAGAGTTATGTTGTAGGAAGAGTGATTGTGTAATGTTATAGAGATTTGTTTTGTGTGCCTTAATTTTTTATTTATTTTTTTGTTTTAAAAAGTGTGGGCCCCACAAAATATTGTGAGTGTAGGAAAGTTTGTTGTGTTATGTTAAAGGATAAAACGAAAACCCGTAAATAAAACCTTCATTTTATCATAAATATCTGAAAAATTATTAAATATAATTAAATAATGAATAATTATCAACTTACTTTCACTTCGAATGGGTCAACAGAATTATGTGTGTGAGAGAGAGGATCAAGTTAGTAGTGATTAATAAATGGAAAAAATGTTTATTCTTTTAAATGACACAACTTATATCTTTTCACTCTCACAAAGAGGTGAGACTCACACCTTTATATTTTTCTGTCCACTCTCTTTCTTCTTTTATCTATTTCTTTCTCTCACTTAAAATAACACATTTTTACATCTTTTAAAATTATAGACAATTTTTCCCTTAATAAATTAGAACAATTAACATTAATGAATACAAGAGAGAGGGTTTAGACCACTGATAAGGATTTGATCCTTGGAGGTCTTCCTCGTGTTAATTTGGTAGCTCATACAGTTTGACTTGATAATGCAAGGTCGTGAAATCATGGGCCCTATCTATCTCCCTAGATCCTACACTACCCCACTGAACTAATGATTACCGTGTGACTCTCCTCTTCTCATTGGACATCTCATATGTTAATTGCTAACTCACGTGGGACGGTTGCGGGATTATCTCTGAGCTTAGCGTTCTCCGCAGCTATAATAAAAATTTGCAGATAGAACAGTGATGGGGCACAGATCAAGAGACCCCATCCGCAATTATTCTCTGCAGATTATTATTTTTATTTTTTTAATATTTGTATAACACATTATCATAGGGCAAAGCTGAATACCATGCACAAAATGACAGTTTCACGTTGCATTTTTTTACTTTTGGCTGAATCTATGATGTTCATGACTTCATGTAACATGTTCATTTCACTTTTCCTCTATTTATTTTATTCATTTTTTTTTGGGAAGGGGTATATTAAATGTTTACTAGTTGTCTACCCAATTGCTTGCGTGACTGTTGGAGATCTTCCATTAAATGCCTTCCCTTGTCCTCTGCACTTCACTCTCTCTTTTCTAACCAACCTTTGCTAGCTTTCCCTTATATGTTTTGTGCTTGTTCAAGTAGAATATAACTACGAGAGAGTGTAACCTCTATAGTGGAAAAGGCAACCTTTTTGTGATATCCCAGCTACTTAGCCACATATTAGCAACCTTTGATGCTTTTGTTTTTTATGGAAGAAACATAGTACTTGAATTCACCCTTCTTACATTGGGGGGAAAAAACAAAAAACAAAATGGGTTGCTGTGTGAGTAGTAACAGATCTTCAATTTCAGCTTCATCACCAACAAAAGACAAGGATTTTGAGCCACCAAGATCTAACATTTCCCGAGTGAAGAAAGCCTCCGAAAGCAGAACACCTCCTCCTCTTCCGGTGGAGGAAGAGACAGTGAAGGAAGTGCTCTCAGAAACACCCAGATGGAAACCAACCGTGGCTAAATTTGACAAGTTCGAAGGAAAAAACGAGGTTGAGAAGCCATTGGCCTTCATCAACAAAGCAGAAGAGATCTCTGAAGTCTCGGAGGTTTGCAGCTTGAGCGAGAGCGTTTCCACAACAACAGTCACCGATAAGAGAGAAGAGGAAGAAGAAATGCGCCAATGGGTCAACAGATCTCCAGCCAATATGGAGAAAAACCGCTCCTTTACCGGCGGCGGAAGGGAGAGAACGGTGGGTAAATCTCCGGCGAAAAGGTCGGAGCAATCCCCGGGTCGAAGGAATGTTGGGTCGGCAAGAGTTGTTCAGAGCAGAGATCAAATAAGCAATGGGGGAACCAGGAACCACCCTCGCCGTCGAGACGCCGGCGAAAACTCCGGCCGCAGATCAAGGTCGCCGGCAACCCGTACCGACGAAGGAGCAACAAGATCCATTGTGGGTCGGAGCCCATCTGCAAGAAGAACGAGTAAATCACCTGCTCGGGTCAGAACCGCCGCACCGGAGAGTGGTGGTCGGAAAATGGAGAATTCGAGCATGGAGAGTAAATGGCCATCATCAGCTAACGAGTCGCTGGAAAACCCACTTGTGTCGTTGGAATGCTTTATCTTTCTCTAGGAAGGGAATAGTGGTGGCTGTGGCGGTGGTGCTACCGTTGAATAGGTGAGGTCAAGCCAAGTCAAAGTTATTAATAGTAACTCTCATAATTTCTGTACTTACTTTTAATTAGTGTTTGGGTATAAATAGTTTAAGTCAAAGGTCAATTTTAGGACTCAGTTATATAGAGAGAGCTGGTTTGTCCCAACTCCCAAGTAACATGGTCTTTTGGATACTGGAATACGTAAATGCTATGCTTGTGGTAAAAATTGACCTCTGGTTACTTGCACATCCCTATTCCTTTTCTCCTCTGCCACTAGTTTTCTTCTATCTCACCTATTGGCAGATTGGGAAAGATTGCGTTTCTGCCATATATGATTCAGTTTGTACCAAAATTATTCACCTGCGATTTTGTGAAAATGAAAGATTCAACCTTACTATGAACCACCAATAGTATGAAGACAAATCATAAATTTTATTCAACTTTTTGTTATAAAATAAAATATTAAAAGGTAAAATTGTAAGGCTTTTTAGTTTCAACAGCTAATGTATGATTTTGGTAGAGCTATTGGACATTCCAAGAGGCGATAATCAACTATTAGGAGTAGGGGTGATAAACGAAAAAGGGACTTTGACTCGGCTCGTGAAGGCTCAGTCTTACATGTCTAATATTGGTTGTTGGAATCAGACTTGGACTTGTATAAAAACTCGTTTAGTAAAGAGGCCTCAGGCTCCAATTCAAAAGCCCGGTCTTGTAGCCTCTCAGGCTGACTTAGTATATTAATTTTTATTTTTATTTATATTTTTTATACTATTTGTAATAGCCCTCTCTCTCCTCTCAATCCATTTCACTCTTATTTTATTAGTTAAACAGACTTTTTGAATGATTTTGTTTCGATATACATTGAATTTATGAATTTATGAATATTTATAGAATTATTAGTGTTGTTGATTGTATATTCTGTTTGGATAAATTTTTATTGCCTTCTTCTTTTCTAACAGGCCAAATCAGGCTTTTATTTTTTGTAAATAAGGCAGGCCACAAGCCGATAATTATATTCGTAACAGGTAACATGTTTGATAAGGCCGACACATTTAATCATTGGCTTAACCTTTAAGACCAAAGCTCGACTCGCCTCGATCCGTTAACAACCCCTAATGAAGAGCGTTCGTATGTTCTCCAATTTGGAGTGTGTATTATTTTTGTTATTATCGTCATTCATTTTACGGTACGTGGATAAAATTTATTATGTCATATGAAGAAAAGAAAAATTAAATGACAACTAAAACAAGATGACATAATATTTTTTGTCCTGGTAAAATAAATAAGAATAATAATGAATCTTCGATGTGTTATCATATCATTAAAGATTTATTCGCCCAAACGATAGAAGGAAAGTGCAAGGCCCAAAGCTCAAAGTTCAAAATGTAAACCCCAAAGAGGACCAAGATGGGATCATATTGTTGACAACTATGGATTGCTTTGGCATTTTATAAAGCTTTGGGGATTCGTCAATATCTGCCACCGCTCAACTTCAAAAGGGTTACGGTTTTGATTACGCTTCAAAAATCAACGACGATCGATGACGTTAAAATATACATCTGGAAGAGACATAGGTAAAAAAACTTTTAAGAATACTCGTGACGAGGGTCTATGTGTAATGTACACTATTTATTATGAAGCATTATTGTATAAATGTACATTGTTAAAAACAAATTGAATTTTTTCAAATATTGCACTACCCAAAATTTTAAAAATTAAAGTATGAATTGATGTAAAAAAGAAAAAATTTAAAAAATACATAATTTGACCTAAGAAGTTACATGTTAACAAATATCACTTATATAATTTGACCTAAAATTGATAGCAATTTTGCAATTTGTATCTGCTTAGAGGAAGACAAGCTCGATCCTAAATTGCCTTGCAAGATAATGGCATTTAATTTTTATTTTTTTGTGAAGTATTTCTGCCAAATTTAATTTCTAGTAAATTTTAATATTAGGGCACATGATATTGATAATGTATGTAGAACTAATTTTTTTTATCAAATAAAATAATTTTTGTTTTAGCTTTATAAATTTAAAACATATTTGAACAAGTCATTAACAAATAGATAGTGGTGAAGGACTTATAATGTCATTTAAATATATATTTTTCCAAAATCCAAAAAGTATTTGCCGAATTGCATCGATAATCCCGACTCAATCTATTGGAAAAAAAAATAAAGGGAATAAGTAGGAGAATTTTGTCAGTACGTACTACTATTACATTAAGTTTTCAGGGTTACTTCCACTCAAAATATGACAAATATGATACATGTTTTATTTTTGTCAATTTTTTTTTAAAAAATTTATTTTAATTTCAGATAAGAGAGTGATTTGACAAAAAAATAAGTCATCTATCATATTATAAATAAAAATAGCACCGAAAATTCAATGTAAGGGCAGCACTTAACAAATTTTCAATGAGTAGGATTACTCTGTTCATCTTTCACTATAAGTTGGATTATTCTATAGAAAGTAGTTAATGCACTGTGTTTTTGGCCCATCCGTTTATTAATTTTTTAAGTAAAAAGTACTTTTAATCAATAATGTCTAAAAAATATTCATATAATTAATTTTTTCAAAAAATAAACTCATAAAAATTTATTTCAGTATTTTTTTCATAAATTAAAAGGAATATTTTTTTAACAAAAAGTTATTAAAAATATACATCATATATTAAGATATTTTATTTGAGAAGTTTATACAAATACGTATACATCCTTAAATTAATAGAGTATATTTTTCATTTTTTTGATGAACAGGGTCAAGGATCCAACAACCATAATTGAAAACCATCTAGTCCCAATCCAATATGGAAGAGGGTTCAGTAATCAGTCATATATGTTGGGTTTTTGACCACTATAGCCTTTTTTTAATAATTAATTATCAAATTGACCCTATTTATAAACTATTTCAAAAATTTAACCTCTCCAGAAAACATAACACCAATCTGCCCCTGTTTGACCGTTGACCATGAAGCCTACCCGGGTACACCCCTACCTACCCGGGTAAATTTTAAAATTTTTTACCTACCCGGGTACACCCCTCCCTACCCGGGTATATTTCTTGAATCTGGAAAATATTTGAATTATTTACCCGGGTAGGGAGGGGTGTACCCGGGTAAATAATCATAAACTGGTTGTGTGCGCCCATCCTCTTTGTGTGAACAGCAAATGAAAATCTCTAAATTGAAGGACTAACGCATGGAGAACAAAATCTGAAAACAGGTTATTGATGAAAGATATTCCACTGGATCATATGCCTGAGATTAGTGAAGCAAATAATCAAGGTTCTGCTCCAACAAAGGATGCTATTACATGTCACCAGTCAGACAATTCAAAAAAATGTTCAGAATTAGAGGTGAAGGAATTGGGCGTTGACAAGCTTGAGTTGTGGAAAACTGTAAAAGAGACAACTGAAGATGGCAAGAGGAAGATGTTGGAGAGGGTTGTCTCAGATGCTCAGAAATTGGCCATTCTTAAAATGACTCTGCAAGGTTTGAAAAAGAAACCAGAAACAAAGAAGAAAAGCAAGAAGAGAAAAGCATGAGTTATGATTATTTACCCGGGTACACCCCTCTCTACCCGGGTAAATAATTCAAACATTTTCCAGATTCAAGAAATATACCCGGGTAGGGAGGGGTGTACCCGGGTAGGTAAATTTTTTTAAAATTTACCCGGGTAGGTAGGGGTGTACCCGGGTAGGCTTCATGGTCAACGGTCAAACAGGGGCAGATTGGTGTTATGTTTTCTGGAGAGGTTAAATTTTTGAAATAGTTTATAAATAGGGTCAATTTGGTAATTAATTATTAAAAAAAGGCTATAGTGGTCAAAAAACCCATATATGTTTGATATTCACATAATATACATGATGGTGGGGAATAGAAATTGTTCGGTGACTCTCATGTTTGATATTCCAATAGGAGAACCCAGATCCAATGAGTGTCCATAATTAACGGTGACTCTCAAAGTGTTACCTTCCCGGTTACTTCCGTATTCCATCCCTCCTTCTATGTCTGGCGGACGGGGGTAGAAATGCGAGTTGATTCTTTTATATGAAAAAGTAATTTTGTGATCATATCATATTATTTGATCACACATAAGATAAGAGAGAAAAAAATATATAATTTTTAAATTAATAATTATAATTAAATAATAAGATCACATGATCATTTTTTCACATGAGAAAATTTACTCTCGTAGAAATTGTTCGAACAAGTTATGCACACGGATCTGTGGAAGGTACATGTTTACTTCCTAAAAACAATAAAAATAAAAAAAATGTGAAAACTACACGTCCCATTGACCCATTCAACCTAAATATCATATCTATTGTACGTTATTCTGCAAGAAAATAATGGAGTAGGCCACCAACGTAGGACAAATAAAAAAAATGCACGTTATAAGTAACTTATTTTATGGAATCTTATGTAGAACTTGCAATGTCCTTCGCCGTATGTTGCGCAACACATGATAGATGACCTTTCCAATACATCCCAAATACTGTGTAATCGATCTTCACGTGGTGTGAAAAACTAGCACTATTTGAAAACAGTGACTATTGTTGGCAAAAAAAAATTACTATGCGACCTCAACAGTAAATTTTTCTAAAATATCACGTGACATATTTCGTTTCACTGTGTAGCGAATTATTTGCACACCTATTTCGCTACACAGTGTAGCAAAATATGTCACGTGATATTTTGGCAAAATTTACTATTGGCGTGACAGTTTGATAATTTTTTTTTGCCAACGATGACACTTTAGTCACTGTTCCCGGTATTTGAGCTAAGCAAAATCCAGCATCACAGTCATTGGATTATCTAATCCTATTTCTTGAGGATTTTTTTTTCTTTCATTTCTATACTTGGGAAAAAAATTTGGCCAAAAATATGTGAATTCAATTCCCAGTGAGAGATAATATGTATTCATTAAAGAGTTTATTTATCAAATAATATGTATTTAATCATGATAACACATTCTATAATAGAGAAATATATTTCTCATGTTCTATATGTAACACACACAAAAAATGAGTTGAGATCACTTTTTTTTCTTTCTCTTTCTTTTTTTTAATGGGTCTCATTTATTTATTTTTATTGCATGGGACAATAGAAAACATATTCCCCTTGTCAATTAATTTTTTGAAACAAAATAATAAACTGATTTTTCCGTATATTATTTTTAATTATTTTTGTTTCCTAAATTAAAAAAGAAAAAGAAAAAAAATATTAACATTATCATGCAAACAGTATATAGGCAAAGCCCGAATTCTTTCCTCAACGAATTTAGGGGTGTTTGGTACGCGATATTTTCCAGGATTTTTGGGAAACTAAATTTTTTTAAATTTTTAATTTTCAGATATTATTGTAAACTGAATGTAAAAACCATATTTCTGAAAATCGAGATTCTCGAATAAAAAAAAAAAATCTCCTCTACCAAACGTCTCCTTAAGGATATACTGCTATACCAACTTGATCCATTAGAAGAATAAATTCTCATAGAGTCCTAGTTACTGTAGTCATGAATTGCGAGGCTAACCTTGTGCTTTAAGCACCATGATGTAACTAGGGTTCTCAAGAAAAGACATTGTGTAAATGAATGAACAACTAATATATCATCAGTTCAAATATAAAATATTCATATAACACAAGAATTTATGTAATTATTTAAAGGAGAATGAGTTTCTCCTATTGCATAAGAACCTCCAACACACAAAAAATATCGTAGAAAGCTTCTTCTTTTTTTTATAAATATGGTGAATCTCATGATTTTTTGTTTCTGCCGAAGAGTTAATGATTTCTCCTACAACAGATAAACTATTAACCTTTATTTAAAATAAAATAATAATGTGTCAATTGTTTATTAATTTAGTCTATACTCAACTTATCTACACATGATTTGCATAAGTTTCTTCATTTTTAAGGTTGACTCAACTCATTGAGTTCATGTTATTTGGAATTCGACCGTATTTTCTTAAGCTTGATAAAATGTCAACTTTCCATCCTTGACATACATGATGTCAGTGTTGTTGAAGGAAGTGGGTGAATAATCACCAAGAGACTTAAACTCGTGCAACGAAGATGCTATAATTAAATCTACAATTAAAGTACAATAAAAAATAAGGAACGAACTCACAAGATATATGAAAGAGATGTCAATATGTAGATAAATCTGAGTCCAACAGATATTGTCTCTTTAAAACAATTTGTTCTCTCTATTGATGTTGAAGGTTGATAAACAATTGTCTTCCAGGATAAAACGGATTGTGTCTCAAGAATGATGACACTATCAATCAAAAGCCCCAACGTACACAACTTAATGTCTGAGGAATAACACTATCTAATACTATGATATGGATGCACAGTGCATAGAAAGAAAAAATTAAACTAAAATTCTAAACTCTCTAAATATTTATAGAAAATATAAGATCACGATTCAAAAAGCACATTTTCGTTTACGAAACAATACATCCGTTCGACACGAAAAGATACACATTTTCTGATCAAACTTCTTATTCATAATCAATGGGATTTAGACCCAAAAATCCAATAGTCAATATACCTATGATGGATTACAGACTTTTGCCCTCTGCATATCCTAAACAATTGGAGATATAACCCATGTTTTGAATACTGTTTCTAAAAATAATTTTTGATTTTTAGAACAAAAAAATTCATTTAATAAGACCTGTTTTGTAAAAATAAAAATAAAAATTGTAACTATTTTTTATTTTATTTTTAGAATCAATTTTAGTTGTTTTTGTTTTGTATTTTGAATTTTGACTTTTAAAACAAATAAATAAATAAATAAAAAATACATGTTTCTATAACTATTCTATAAAATAATTTTAAGAACAACAAATCATAACACAATCAAACAGAGCCATAGACTCCTGCTATAGAGGCATGCATACCATTATCAGCACGTTGTCTAACAAATTGTTTTATGTCTACTGCTCCTACAAATAAGCCAATTTGGGATTCCATGAACCTAAAATAGGCTCTAAGATTTTATTGCAATTTTTCCAACAATTTGTACTGGCTGGAAAAATATTCAAATGGAAGCGTATTTTCATAGGCCCAATCATATTTCCATATTGGCCTAATTAAAAAATATAGATTCATAGGCCTAGTACGCGAAAAAGGGATTGGTTGCATTGTCTCTGGATTGGAAGAGAAAGGATGATTGGCAAACAATTAAGTCCATATCACTGTCTGATGAGAATTTCGGTCTTCTTCTGGTTCCGGGCTCAGCAACACAAAAGTGGACAATTGATCGCTAAAAATGATACAAAGCACATCATCATGAAGCTGAATCCATTGTCTGGTACTCTGGTTAATGTATTGCATATGTTGTATGTAGTAAATGAATGAAAACCATTGCTAGAAGGCACATGTCAAAGTACTCTTGTTGCAAACATGGAAGCTCAATTCTAGAGACTAGGGGTCTGTTTGATTGTGTTCTGATTTTTTTTTGTTCTTAAAACTGTTTTGTAAAATAGTTATGAAAACCGTAGTTTTTTATATTTATTTATTTTTAAAAGTTAAAAAACAAAACAAAAAACAAAAACAACTCAGACATATTCTCTAAATTTGATTCTAAAAACAAAAAAACAGTTATAGTTTTTAAAACAATTTTTACAAAACAGGCTTTAGCAAACGAGTTTTTTAGTTTTTTTGTTCTGAAAACTATAAAACTGTTTTTAAAAACTCCAATCAAACAGAGCCTAGAGTTCTAAACCCAAAGATGTTTAAGTACTCTTGTTGCATATGTTGTACGGTAGTAAATATTATTCACGTGTTATCATCGTGTGACAACATTATTTGAGTTTGCGCATGCGTTTTTATCTTGGAATGTTTAAGCACGGTCCTTGTTTTAGTTCAATATGAAGATGTTTGATGGTTTGGTGTTCATCTTATACTTTTAACAGAGAAGGCTTAACTACTTGAAGAGAACAACACTCCATGCACTGAGAACCACCGATTTACACTATGGGAAACTTCACGACAGAAAATTGATCCGGTACTCAAAGATGGACCTCATTGCCAAACCCAGATTGCACTAAACTAATTCTTATATACATGTTATAAACTATACAGAGAGCTTCTCTAGGTAAAAATGAATGGAAGGCAAACCTCCATAATAGTCTATTCTTCAAATAAAATTCATCAACACCTTGATGCAATATGCAGATTGCAGAACTTCTGTCATATTCAATTCTCTCATACTTCGTTGATGATACTAGGCAGGGTGTTGGAAGTGGAACAAGGTAATGTGTTATGCTGATGGGAAGGCCATGAAATCCGTTCAGCGCAACACGGTGCAGGGGCAGGGTGGGCAATGAATGTAGGAATCTCATCTCCTGGCATCAAAACTGAAACCCAGCTGGTATATACACTCATCTGCAGAAAATAGAGAACCTGGTGAATTGATTAAACATACTTGCTAGAAAAATTAGAACATCACTGGTTTAAGAATTTATAATAGAGAATTTTTGGCTCTACAAGAATGGACCAGAAATCAAACTAGAAATGACTTGACAAAACAGTATCCATTGCAAACTTCAGGGAAAAAGCAACAAGTGCTTTTGCATTTTCTTTTCTCAAAGTTCCTAAAGCCATAACTTTTAACATCAGCCATTGCTTTTAACATACCAGGACAAATTCAAGGTAAATAGTATCAAATGTCTCACTGATAACCACATGACTTATATTAGAGTCAAGCATATTAAAGGATGCAATCATCTATCTGGTCATATACATTTGTACATAGAGTAAAGCAACAGCTACATTACTATTCCTATTTTAGTTTCAGCACAATAAGGAAATTCATTAAGACTTTAAGAGAACCCAGTAAATAAAACAAAAACAGCAAAATGTCAGCAAGGAGAAAGCATTTGAATTTGATTGCCAATCACGGATTTTCAGCTAAAGATTAAATCAGATTGGTTCTTTCTGACAGTATTATGATGGTGAGAAAGAATGCTATCCTTTAAGAACATTTCAAACAGTGTCAGATACAACCACACAGGTATGGATCTAAGATGCAAGCAAGCACATAGGAAAAGCAAATTAAACATTGTCATCCACAATAACTAGAAAAAGAAAAAGAATCTATATGCATTTTTTAAAAAAAATAAAATAAAAAAATGGATAGCTAAAGCACTAATAATCCTACTACAATAATTATCATCAAGAGAAACAGTGGTTCAGCAGAATTGTGCTGTTAAATTATTTGCATCTGATACTAAACTTACAAACCAAGGCCCGCCTAGTGATACACACCTCATCAATCATCAAAGTAATTAAAATTCAAAATATAAGATTGACAAGGTACACAGTGTCTTCTCCTAGTGAACCCCACTTGTGTATAAAATGAAATAAAATAAACACTAGAAACAACACTTCATCGATCCATCGAACCCAACATTGCTATTTCTCTTTTCTTTCAGTCTGGACATGTTAGATAAGGCACCAACATCATATCATATATTTGACTTTAACATAGATATATTATATAAATGACACTAAATATGTCCCCCTAGATATAAACATACAGATCAGACATGGATCCACAGAAAATAAAGCAATAAAAGCATTATAGTTGCCTTTGGATTAAAAAAGTCTACGTTTGCATATATAGAACACGTTGAGAGCATTCATAATTTAGATATCACTGAAATCTTTGTTTTACATCTTAAACACTTCAGCATTGAAGCTGGTGAGGTTGAAATCACTACCTTCTCAAGATACTGACAAAGGCAAATACTCCTCATCGATGGCAGGTTTCATATCACTTGGTATTACAATTAGTTATTTAGTTATTCCAGAATTAGAGTCCATATGAATGTGATACATCTCTAATCCAATTTTCCACCAGGCATGATCTGTTACTGTAATGTGGAACTGATTTTTATATCACATAATTTCATTAATAAGAAATATTTTCCTCACATGGTCTTAAGTGCCTGAGTGGTATCATTAACATAAACAATAAAAAAGAATCCCAAACAGAAGCCTAAGTGCGGCAGCATGTTCTCTAATCCCATATTCTGTATTCCGTTAACAGCATAGTGAAATCCCAAATGTGATCTGAATGCCAAATAAATAAACTATTAAATTATATTTATTTGAGTAGTGGGCTTTTGCATTCAAAACCTTATTTGCTAATACTAGAGAATCATTAATACTTTTGTTAAAGTTGAGAGAAACAACTTCATAGACAATGTCCCAATCAAGTTTTGCCTTCCCATTGAACACCGCGGTTGGATAAGTAGGTGGGCCTGGTGTGTTCTCCAAAGGAATGGCACAAGGTAGACAGCACAATTGTTGCATGGTACTAGCTCATCATATAATAATCCATTAAAAACTAAGACTAAAATATTGAAAAAGTATTAGCAAGGAAGAGATATGTAGAACAAAAAGTAGTATATAGCACGGGGTTACCTTCTGAAATAGCAGCTAGTATTGTAGACAATCAATGCTAAAGATAAGAAGATCATAAAATAAGATTAACTTGAGTTGACCGTGTGTTTCAGACCACAAACACCAGCCATGTACGGTATCATTAAAGTTTGGAGGTGATGGAGTAGATGAACGTCAAGGATAATGTGGGTCTCAACTACCACACAAAGATGGATAAATAAGTTCAAAGATTCAGGGCAAGGGACCAATCGTTCAGCAGAAAACTTCTATGGAGGACCATCTCCATATAAAAATTCAGAGACAACACAGTTCACTCATTATTAAGGTATTTGACACAAAGCATAAATGCAAGGGGAAGGAAATGAAAATTTTGATGGGGTTATGATAGTGTCCTTAAGATCACATAGCCCCAAAAGAAAAGTTTGTCAGATAATAAATTCGGATTTGACAGGTTTTACCCTTTTTTCCAAAGTTGAATTTGGGATTAAGTAAGAAGAGGATCTAAAACACAGTAAAATACTAGTGTATGTCTTTACCAAAATGAAGAAGAAGAAAAATAAGCATTTGAAAGTTTGGCCAATTTAAGGATGGAAGAGGAACACCCTTTAGTGCTAGGCCACAGGAAAATCTCTAATGGAAAGCCATTTAGTGTTTGAGGAGAATATGAGAGCCAATGGAACAGGAAGATACACAGAAGGTCTCAAAAAGAGATAATTATATATAGTTCTGATGAGGCACAGGACATAAACTTTTTGAATTGGACATGGCAGAGGAATTCATTAGAAAACAGAAAACAGGAATAAAACATGTAATTCTCATAAAAACCCAAGATCCAAGATTCTAATAATACGGGAAGCACAAGCAATTTTTGGGAGTGATATTTAGCAGCAAAAGAAAATATGTATAGTAAAAGCAAAACTAGAAACAACAAAAATTAGGTAACAAAACTTTTTGTCAGATAAATAATATCATCACTTCTCCATAAATCAAAATAACTACCCAAATTAAAAGAAACCAGAGGTGGAAGAAGAAAGAGAAAATCCTGCATTTTTTCTGTATGGTTAACGAGAAACGCGAAAAAAAAAAAAACAACAACAAACACTCAACAAGGAAAGAAGGCACTGTAGAGAACTTGGAAAACACACAACACAAAAAGTAGGGGAAAGAAAAAAAAAAGAGCTTTTTTTTTTGTATACTCACTTTTGGAGATGGGTGACCGAGCTTCCCAGCGAAACCCATCTGAGATTCGACTCCGCGACGGTTCCGGCGACCGGACGGCGACAACGCCGGCGAGGTGGGTCTGAGGAACTTCTCAAAGATAGCCATGAGCAAGAACATGGAGATAAGAATGGCAGTGGCTACGAAGCCAAAAGAAACAGCATTAACGGAGCTGTCGAAGTTGCTGAAATGCTGATCATCTCTCTGCATGTTCAGTGGGGCCCCTATTGGTGGCCACCCATTGTTATGGTCTCTTACCATTATTTCTGCTTAGCTGCGTTTCACCATTCTTGGGTATGTAGTGTAGTTTCTTCCAGTTCAACAAGAAGAGAAGAGAAAAGAGACAGTTATAGTACAGTACAGTACAACAACTACGCTACCTTCAAGAAGTTCACAGTTCACACTTCACACCACTCTTAAAGTTCGTTTAAGTACTTAAAATTTAGGCCTCCAAGAGAGAGAGAGAGAGAGAGAGAGAGAGAGAAGAGCATGTGGGGTGGCCGGAAGGTGAAAAAAAGAGAAACTTTGGAATTTGGATTGGACCCTGTCCTGTGTTTTTTTCTATTTGAGAAAAACGATAAAAACAGAACATCAAAAAGCTCTTTGACGGTTTGCTCTTCACAATTTTTGTTTTTGTTTTATGAAAAATAAATAAAAAAATACCTTGCTATTTTCCTATCTTGATTTTTGTACCTCAAAAGTTAGTGTGAAATAAATTATACAATTGTGAAATGAAAGAAACAGTGGTTTTGAGTTTCGAGTCATTTGACATTATGCATGTGTTTTCATTTGAAAAATCTCATCCTGGAAACATGTGATGAGCGGTACCAATGTTGAATTAAAATTAGATTTTTGTCGCTTTTATGGAAAAAGGTAGTTTTATTACTAGTTTAAGGTCTTTATACATTAATTGGCTACTTTATATTATAGTAATCGGTTCTCCAATAATTACATAATAAAACAACAACTTCGTAGTTATGCTTTTTTTTATTATCTAAACTTCATTATGGTTATAAAATTTCCTTTTTATCAACTATAGAAATGTTGAATTATTTCAAGTATTAAAGTACCGTTGGCATAAGAGGTTAGAGTTTAGATGGAATAATGACTCTATCTCAAATATTCGTATTGAATATTTTAAAAAAAGATAAAACTTTACAATATTTTAGTTTTATGTTAATAATTTTATATCTGCATAATTTTAGCCATATATTCATGTAACCAACAAGAATTAAATTGTAATTCTCTCATTTTTACAACGACACAATTCCAAAATCAAGACATAAAAGAAATTAACACCTTCAATTTTATTTTATTTTAAAAATATTCTAATCGATTCATCGTGTTACGACTAATTCGATTTAGGATGAATTCAGAATTAAAATTTTAATTTTTTTTTTAAAATAATATTATGAATGATCGAACACTTTCAATTTTTGGCTTTATTAAAAGTAGTTATCAATATTCTTTCAAAATTGAACTGTTATGCATGTGATGAAGCTTATTTTGGCCAAACCAGGAAGCTTGGGCTCTGAATTTACTTAGTAAAAAGTTCAACTAACAATAAAAGTCACATGCTACATTCCAATAATAATAATAATAATAAAAAAAGAGGTCTTATTATTTATTTACTTGTTTTTGTTGTTATCGAAGTGAGAAAGTTTTTTACTTTTGATCGTGATTTGGACCTTTCCCTCTTTAGTGTAAAATAACATTTTCCGTGTCTAATCCGTTTTGGTGTGATTGAAATTTGCATGCAAGAGATGACCGGAAATTTTTCTATGAAAAATGCTTCCATTTGAAGTTTCAATTATTCAGACTTTGTGTCTAATCAGAATTCGACAAACTTTAATAAAACTTTGTGGCTAATTTCTCAATCATGTCCAACACATGATATCCCCTACATCTCTTATTCTCCCCTATAATAGAAAAGAGGACAGACAACATCTTATTTGTTAGTTTCAAGTCATAAATTCCAGCAAATTAAAAGTTTTTTTAATTGTTTTTTTCATGAATGAAAGATATGAACTTAAAAAGAAATAACTATTTACCTGGGTTTCTTTCAGAACTTAGTTTTTTACTTTAATTATTATAAATTGTTGCTTCTTGATAAATATAATTACCAAATTATAAAATCTATTGGTCTTCCTTAGTTTTTTTTTTTAAAAAAATAAGGTGCAAAACTAAAATAAAAAAATTGCTATATTAGTTATAATAAATTGAGTTGGAATTAAAATAAGATATAAAGGAAAACCACGTGCTTTGTTTTTGTTTTAGCAGTCCTTCACACCACAATCTTGCTTTTCTAATTTCTAGCTGAACCCAAAATGAACATGTAATAGCTCCAATATATTTTTGAATTCACCTGGTTCATGTAATGCCAAAGATAATAATTGGGTTCACTTAGATCATGCCCTAAGGCTAAATATACTGATAAATAATGTTTTTTTTTTTTTTTTGTAAATATAAATAATGTTTCTTAAACTAAGCATGAGAACTGTCCTTAATTTCTTAAAAGTTACAAAAATAAAAAAATAAAAAAATCCATGTTCAATTCAAAAGGAAAAGGGGGCACTTAATATTTTTTTTTATTAAACTCTATTATCTCCTTCGTGTGGCTATTCATAATGTTAAACATGAAATTTAATGTAAGTTTTTAAGTCCTTGCAAATTTTTTGCTACGTCAATTTAATTCTCCAGATATTATTTGGGTGGCGGGGAGAGTTAGTTATTATTCATAACCAAGAAAGGAAACAGTGGTGACTGGTGGAGAAAAGAGGCAATTACCCTTATCCCTAAGAGAGCGTTTCTACACGGTATTCTTGAGGATTATCGAAAAATTAAATTTTTTTAAATTTTTAATTTTCAGATATTATCGTAAACTGAACGTATAAATTATATTTTTAAAAGTTGAGATTCCCGAATAAATTTTTTTTTTCCTCTGCCAAACATTTCCTAAAAAAAAATAATGGCAATTTTTTTCTGAAATTGTCTTTCCACGGAGGAGGTAAAAAGCTTCATCATAATCTAAAAAGGGTTTTATAATATATATGTTCTAGGAAAAGTGATTGTGTAATGTTATAGAGATTCGTTTTGCGTGCCGTAGTTTTTTTTGCTTCAAAAAGTGTGAGCTCCACAAAATATTATGTGTGTAGGAAACTTTCTTGTGTCATGTTAAATGATAAATGCAAATCCTAATCTAAAATAAGGGTAATGGAACAGTGAGGGTATCGCAGTATCGTGGGAACAGTAGCAGAGTACCACATTCAAAAATGGGGAAAATGATTAAACAAATATTTATTTACGAAAAATGTTTGAGTTAGAAATATTTCGTCAAAATAAAAAAACTTCATAAATAATTTCTACCACTTCATTTTATAGAATGCCTACTTTTAAATGCTGTTAAAATGTTATCTACTTTTAATTTGGTGATATTGTATATTATGCACTTAATATACAATATGAGGTGGGGCCATGGAGTGTAATTATGTGATCAATGACCATTTTGTCATATTTGGCCAAAAAAATTACCAGACTGTCACGTTAACAGTAAATTTTTCCAGAATGTCACATGGCATAATTCGTTACACAGTGTAGCGAATTATGCTGCGTCAGAATACACAGTCAATAAAAATGACACGTGTTAAACAGGTAGTAATTCGCTACATTGTGTAGCATATTATGTTCGCGAATGATTTTTTGACACGTGTCACACTTTTCGCAGAAAAAAGCTGACGTGTCATAATTGGCTACACTGTGTAGCGAATTTCGTCTGCAATATGACCACGTGTCACGAAATTCGCTACACAGTGTAACGAATTATGACACGTGAGATCTGATAAAAAATACTGTTCGCGTGACATTTAAGTAAAAAATTTAACAAAATGTGACATTTTGATTCCGTAATTATGATGTGGGCAGAGCACGAAGGATATAACCACACCTTTGGTCGTATTTTTATTACTCATCATTGGGGCACCGAGTAATGTTATGCCTATGTGCACAGCAATATTTCAGGGACAACAACCATTTTTTCAGGTTTTGATAAAATATAAATGAAAATATCATGCTTAAGAAATTATTTTTGGATATGTTACCGTCACCTACCGAATAAAGGGTATTACTTTCATTCAAAATCAGTTATCTGTATTATCAATAAATTATTAATTATGTATTTTTGAAATATAGAGGCAAAATATTAAATTTATTTTATTGCTCTCTCATTAGAAAATAAGTCAACACGAGTATTTTTTTTTTTTTTTTTATAACAACACGAGTATTTTGTTTTCATTGGATGAATATAGATGCGAAGCACTTAAAATATCCCTCTGCGTCACGTGACAAAATTAGGATAATCTAACAACATATCACATGTGATGAATGCTACAAATATTTTACTAAGAATAAAATCTTATAATTCTTATTTCTTACCATTAATTTATTCCTGTACTATAATTAATTCATTTTTAATGCGCTAACGTTTTCTACTGTTTTAAAATAATGACACGGAAAATAAGACTGATTACTACGGTAAGTTATTGTGTCAATTAAAGTGATTATATTTATTATGATAACTATGTTAAAACTTAGTAAAAAAACTGTCATACATGTAGTCTTATCTACGGGTGCTAAATGGATTAGGGACTTTGATTCGGTTTGTAAAGATCTGAGTTTATATATCTAAAATTGGTTATTAAAATTAAGTTTGGACTTGTATAAAAACTCCTTTAATAAAAAGACTCGACCTTACAATCTCTTAGGCTAATCTAGTATATTAATTTTTATTTTTATTTTATATTTTTTATACTACTGATAATAGCTCTCTATCTTCTCAACACATTTCATCATATTTTATTGGTTAAACAAACTTTTTTAATAATGTTTTCTATATTTTTTATACTACTCAAAATAGCTATCTTTCTCCTCAGAATAACTTTTTCCTTAAAATATATATTATGTTAAAATTCAGTGTATGATAATTTCTCATTTTATCTTGGAATGAGAAAAATTGTATGAAAATGTTTTATAAAAAAGTGTATATTAAAAATGAATTATTTATAATCTTAAAGTAAATTAATGTTGTTTACCAAAAAATAAAATAAAAAAATTAATGATAACAGTTATAAAACTTCAGTGAAGTGAGATATTTATAGTGTTAATTAACAGTTGTTCACCAAGAAATCAAACTCAAAACCTCTTATTAAGAAAAAAAATCAATGATCACTTGAACTAATAATTATTTATTGTATTATTACCTTAACAAATACAATATTTTAACTGTTGGAAAAAATTTCGAAAATCTAGTTAAATAAAGTTATAATTTTCTCTGTTTGCATAGTTTTTTTTTCTTTTATAATATCGACTATTAGTTTTTTTATTGATAATTAATATGATTTTTTTTAAAGTAAATTTTAACTTCGAAGAAATTAAATCTTAGTTTTTTTTTTTAAATTGTTGCGTTTGAAAATCACCCGTTGTTTAAAATTTTACACAAGTATTAAGAAAGTTAATAAATACTTGTAATTTTAAAAAATTATAGACTTATTTAACTATATTTCTTTCACACTCCATTAATATTCCACTATTTCACTTAGTAGAAATAGTTAAAAATAAGGATAAAGTTTAAAAAATATACTAACACTTTCTTAATTTTCTAAACCGAAGTGCAATATAAAACAAACTAAAAATTTTAAAGTAACAATTTATTTGAAACGGATGAGGTAATAAGAGTAAACATTATTTTTTTAATAACTTAGTGAACATTGTTGATCCCGAAAATGATAGGTTGACGTCATTTTTATCCGTAGATATATGGTATGAATTTAATGTAATATATAGTCATGATCCCTTTTCTCACTTGAGTTATGGGATACCATGAATTTAATTAACCCAAAAATAATTATAAGAGTCATGATAAAAAATTTCAATTATGAAAAATGATATCGAAATTATCAAGAAACTAAATTATTAACAAATTTCTATAATCGAGAGGTTGAATGAATGTCATATTTTTATTATTAAAGAATTAAATTGATCTTAATTTTTTAAAAAGGTTTAATTAATGTCACTAATCTATCCATGAGTTAATTGATGTCATTCTTCTTCTTTCAAGGACTAGATTAATCCCATTTATATTTCCAATGACTAAATGAATGTAAATCCAATTTTCGTACTAAAAATTTAGTTAAATAAAATATGATTTGGTGGTATTCGGTCGAGCTTGCGCACATTTTGATTAGAATAAACCTACATATACTTGTGCACTGATATAAACATTACCTCAAAATTCATAGGAATGGAATTAAAAATTAAAATATGTATAAAGCTAAGTTAAAACTTTTTCATCTAAAAATTAAATTAAGAATAAGGGTCATATACAAGAATAAAAATATATTTCAAACTCATCTGAAATATTGAACTCAAACTCATTGTAAGTTTATAATTTATTTTAAATATTTTGTATGAATAGTTCTTTTATTAATTTTACTATCTCTGTATTTTTTTTTTTAAATTTGAGTCCTTTTAAGAGCGATTGATATGTTTGAGTTTGAGGGCTAAATTCATTTTTATTAAAAAAAATTAATACTGCAATTTTTCATTTTCAATTTTTCATTTTTTTCTTCTATACTTTCTTAAATTGTAACTTCTAAATTATAATTTAGTTTAAAAAATTTCAGTGCAACTGCAAAGCACGGACGCTCATTGGTTGAATATAAATTTCATAGCATGATACATGCGCACATTAAACTTTAGGCAAATAATTAGCTATGCAGTGTTTTATCAAAAAAGAAAAACGTGAATCCACTATTTTCCAGCGAAAGTATATTCATGTTCGTGAAGCTAATAAAAATAAAAATCATGACGAAACCATATATATGATCCATCGTAATTCACAAGAATACTCAACGTGCAAGGGACCTCTAAAAAAAATATGAATCCAATCACAGTGATCATATATGAGTCCAATAATAGCGATCATGTGTTTGTGCCGCACACGCACATATACTTCAGCCTTCGGATAGAACTAGAAAATGCAAAGCAAATGTTTAGTCAATGAATTGAAAAGAGAACCCGAAAGATAAAGAGAGGGGGAAGAGCACATGCCAACCTTGTCTCCCTATTCATGTTCCATACCTCTAATCTCCTTCCACGTGTTAAAACCACCTTAAACATGCGGTGTAGTATATTTTCGGGGTAGTACTGTATTATTTTTACGATACATAAGAATCGCTAACTCTCTTGTTATGTCGACCTTTTAAGGTCCGAACCCAACATGTGGACCTCGAGATTGTCTCTAAGATAAACGGTTCAGATGACTCGAGAGAACACTGGATAATCACTCAATGATAAAAGTTGAGTGAATAGGAAAGTTCTCGGGCCGATCTTTATTAATTTTATCTTGAAGAATAATATAAAATTTTAATTATTGACTCACTTCGTATTTTTTATTATTGTTATATCCGACTTAAAATATTGAAATTCATCGGAAATATCAGAAGAATATACTTTTTTCCAATAAATAATTAAGAGTGATATAAAAAAAATAAAAAATCCGTAAGAAATAATTGAACAGTAGTTGACCCAAAAAAATTTGTACAGTAACGCGTGCATGCTTCAGCTGGCACGTGCGAAGATCGCTGCATAATCAACACAGGGTGATCAGAAAACTCAGAATCAGAGGGTGGGGCCCAAACCAGAAGGGGTAAAGGTCAGGGTCAAGGTCAGTATGTGAAGGTAGTTGGTGCAAGAGACTGAACCCATGACTCACGTGAATGATGGACCCTTTTCCTACCAGCTTTCTCTTCTTTTCATGGTTGTGAATGCTTTAGAATCGTTGACCGCTAAGGAAAAGGAAAGGAGGGAATTGGGCTTGTGGTTTAATGTTAGAGCTGTGATCCATGTAGAGGGTCTCCCAGTAGGCTTGGGGAGTGTTCACGTTTGATCCTACACTGAAGAGTTGCCGGGGCCCGCGAAGCTTTTCTATGGCCCACCTCAGTGAATGACCATGGACAATATTCTGGGCTTGTCCTCTAAAGGGGTTGTCTATCATTGTTGTGTTTGTTGAATGCATTAAGATAATTGGATTTGGAACCTTTCCCCTTTTGGCAATGTTTTAGTGGAACTAGTCTAACAATGACACCCATGCTCACTAAGCAACGTCAGTCTATTCACATTAACCACACCTTAAACAGTGTTTAAATTGTGATTATACGTACCTTCAATAAAGCAAACAAACATTTTATTTAATCTCAAATGCAAAATGCTGATTCTATAGAAAGAACTCATTTTTGTGCTAAATGGATTATTGGATAATGGGATGTATTGCCTACAAGCTATAATTGCAACTTGAGCTCGGCTAAGTGGGGTAGCTTTAGGCTCTTTTGAAGCTCAGAAACAACTTCAATTCCTTCCACTTTGGACATGTTCAACTCCTTAAAAAAAATTGAAAGGATAAATATTTCTACGAAGCTGTATTTTCCCCCCTTTCAAGTGCACCCTTCGTCTTAGAAGAGCCAAACCCAAAATTCAAAAATCACATAAGCTAGAAAGAAAGTTACCTGTTTTTGCTAATCTGGGAGAAACATCCCCCGAAAGCAAATAGACGGTGATAATGTAAATCAAGTGAATAATTATTACACGTGATAATCATCACCCATTAATTAAGGGACTCAAAAGTTACCGAATCCAATTTAAAAAGCTGAATTGATTATCTAAACATCTAAATGCCAAATTCATTAGTATCTAAGACATTACATTATAATCGAACATATACAAAAACTTCAATAATAGATTTTCTTTTCTTTTCTTTTATTTTCTTTCTTTATTTGGTGGCAAAACAGGCAGCGTCATGTGGATTTGATCTGTAATGATCAATCCAACATTCCAACCAAAGACAGAGCTGCCTTTCAAATGCATAGTGAATTAGACAAGAAGTCATGCACTGATTATAACGCGTAGAAGTTAAACATACACTATTATATATGTTCTTTTCTATTTTTTTATTCTCTCAATTAAGCTTATTAGAGTTGCACAACACATGAATGTGTACAAAGCTCTTTCTCACCCTCCAATTCCATTGGCTCAAAGCTCCTCCAAGCATCACTCGTGGCTGATGTGTCAAATATATGAACAACAGACATTGTCCTTGCTAGTTCTCCATCCCCACCTATCCTGTAACCTGCCAAGAAAAATAACCTATTTCCAACTGGGGCCATAGTTAAGTACAGTCTTTGATTAGGAGGCCAATTCTCACACGTGCAAAGGCTTCGCTTGCGCGACCCATCAACTTCATTCCAAAGTTTGCCATCATAAGCCTCAATATGTCCCTTCCATGCATTCAAGCAATCCCCTGAACTAAAAAGTGTGCTATTCACTGCCACAATCTGATTAGGTGGCACATCCAATTGCCACATACCCGTTATTAGGTCCCACTTTCTTGCTTGCGTGTCATACACCTCAGCTGAGCTACGTTCAACTATGCTTGGCATTGTTTTATCCGAGTCTTCTCTCTCAGCAAAACCTCCCACCACATAAACTTTTCCTTGCCATGTCACACCTATACATTTATACCTCAAAATGTGCAAATTAGGCAAATGAGTCCACGTGTCAAGACCAGGATCGTACAACTCAGCCGATGAGATCCCTCTGGCGCTTGCCAGCGTGGACTTCCCTCCTGCCACGTAGATTTTGTTGTCACAAACGGTGCAGGCAAAATCATACCTTGCCACACCTAGTGGGGCACAGTTGAACCATTGGTTTGTTCTTATGTTGTAACGGAGAACTGTTGGTACAACTTGTATACCCACGTCAACGAATTCAGCAGATTCATCAGAAACATGAACCTTTTCTTTGTGACAAATTTGGCCACCAATTATATAAATAGAGTCTCCTAGGGACACCATAGCAAACCCCTTCAAGACTTGGTCATCAATTAGGCCAGGAATTGAACCAACATAGGTCCATGTGTTGATGGATGGGTAATAGAGCTCAATTGAATTGGGAAGACTCACATTTGGGGTTGGTTCTCTAGGACAAAAAACAGCTACCACAACATAATTGGAAAGAAAATTTTCTGGGGATGGTGATGGTGGGGCCGTTGGTCGTGGCGGCGAAGGAAGCGAACCCATTGGAGTCTTTGGGAGATTATGAAACTTTTGGTGATATTTTTCACTAATAGATTGCTAAGTTTTGTGTCAATTTAAAGTGGGAAAGGTAAATAATATAAAGGGGAGTTAGAGATATAGAGAAAGGTGACGGAGAAAACAAAAAAGAGTTGCTTGTGTGCATCGACAAGGAAGAAGACATGGCTCTGAAATCAAAGGATTTTCTTGTGATAACATTTCAAACATTTGGTGGTTATTGTTCATTGTTATGTCCTTCTTTTGTTAGAAAACGAAACAAAGATGATTATTTTGCGGTTTTTCCAAGGTTGAGTAGGTAAAAAACAAAGGATTTGGACAAAATGTTATTAGATTAATCTCTCTCTCTTTTTGACGTGGATTTTTAGGTTAATAGGACTACGAATTTGTATAGATTGTGTTTCCACTTTTGGCAGCACGGCAATGAGAGGTGAGAGGGTGAGTGGAAGAGACTTGGGAAAATCTAGCTATACAGCGTTGTGAAATTTCAATTAGATCCTACTTCATTTATTCTATCGAACTAACACATCAATTTGATTTTTCCAACAGTGCTGGGGTATCTGTAATGAGTAATTTGAATAAAAAAGATGATAGGAATTGCTTATAGCTTTAGACTCTGCTTGTTTGTTTGTGTTGAACCCTTGAACGTCATCAGGATACTGACACGTGGTATCTTGTTCAACCCAAAAAAATAAAGAAGGAAAACAAATAAGAAATAATAGTATCTTGTAGGCAAAGTAACAAACACAAAGAAACAAAAGAGAGAGAGAGAGATGAGAAAGCATACGAAAAGATAGTAGCTTGGAAGCAAATCAAAATGAGATACTAGTGAAGTACTGCATATATATGAAATGTGGGGATCTTTGACGCTTTTTTCTCATTAAGCAAACACTAGTTCGGCTATAGGCATAGGTGTGCTTACCAAAAAAAGGTCCTTTTGTTTTTTCGATGTTATACTTTTGGTTTAATAATATTGCATGCTTTTGCAATCTCGCATCTTTATCTTCTTTTCACCTTTGAAGATTTGGCGTACCATGATTGAGATTTTTTAATGAGAGCGGCAACAAACGAGCCATAGCCATAGCATGTGCTTAGTAGTAAACTAAACAAAATAAAGCATGCAACTTTAAGCATGAAAAAAAATAGACTTCCCATTAGGCCATTACTAGCACTACTCTCCAACATGTGCTACCCATTACAGCTATAACACGCCTTGCCCACATGACTCGCTCGTTTGACATTTATAACTATGCATGGCAATATTCCTTTTTTTTACTTTTTGGTTGCTGATAAAGCATTGCAAATTTGCAATGTTCTGTGATTCACATTTACCAGTTCTGTAAATTTTGGGTAACTCGTAATGGTTTATTGGGTTTTGGCTTGTACTCTCAATTTTCAAGCCCAGGGGCCCATTGGTGAAAGCATCAATTGGACTATGATGACATGACAGAGAGGCATAGTGATTGTAACTATATAGCTGCACTCTGAAATTAACTATTTGACCAAAAGAGGCAATAAGGAAAGCAACCATACCTACTTTGTATTGTAAATATCATATGGAGGAAACCCCTCATTTGTTCAATTTTTGGGAACTTGCTCCACAATTGCAAGATGATGACTAATTGCTTGTTCTGAAACCGGGGAATCAAACCTTACATAAAAGTCCAGCTATGACTGATAGGGATGGGAAGGGAAGCATAATGGGAATTACTGAGTTGACAATAATTTAAGAATGCCTTGCTATTTTATGAATGTATCTAAATGGTGCTGCATGTGTATTCAATGTGAACACTAACACTTTTTCTCAGTTTGCAGCCTGTGATATCATAGAACGGTACAAAATGATGGGACACATTTGGAGGACCATACAAAGTGGTAAAGTCAGACTTAGAGGGATGGATTTAAATCTCCAAGTTTATAAAAATCAAAAATTTCCCACATTTGGGTTATAAGAGATAAGGACATTGCATGGAGTGCCAAGAGTTGCTCTGTTGGCTAGAATGACAAGTCATCTAAAAGGGTATCCCCACCACCATAAGGGTTCTTAAGAACTGTGGTGGCAGTAGGCAGTGAGCATGAGCAGGGACACAAGGATAAGTAATGTAGAATAAGACAAGAGGGAATTGAATCAGGATATGTTAATAAAGCAAAAGTCAAAAAGACTTTAGAGAAGAAGACAAAAAGCTAGAGAATCAGATGTGGTGCAGAAGGTAATCAGAGAAACCCACATGGTTTCTGGCTTGGCTTGTTTGGGAGACAAAGCAGTTAGGAGCAAAAAGGCAAGCTTGATTTGATTGATCACCCTAGAGTTTCATTGCCCAATTGATAATTTTTACTCCTTACACATGTCCCTTTCAAAAGTATATTGGTGCATTATTTCTCTTGTTTAGTAGAGAGACCCACTCTATGGAAGCTGATTTAACCCGTGTGTAGTTGTGTTTCTATGGGAAATAGACAATGATGGGAGAGTCATTTGTTTCCGCCGTGACTAACTTCCAAGATAAATGTATGTAAATAATGAATTAAAATAATAATCACTGTAGAAAATTTGAGTCATTATAAAAATAATTGTCTTAGAAGTCAGGTATTTGTTACCCTAAATAATACCGTCACAGTACCTGTCAATTTTGTGAGAGATAGGCCTGAAGAAATAAATATTTATACTTTGTGATTATATCACTAAATTAATATCTTTGTAAATATTAATATAATTTGTAAATAAAATATAAATTTTAATTCTTTTATGGTTATATCAAAGATATTTTTTCTTTATATGAACATTAAAGATGTATAAGAAATATAGAAATTTTCATTTTTGGCATACTATCACTCTAGGGGTGGTTAAGCAGGCAACCTGCCCTGGCTCGTCTCGCTCCATCATCAACTCGTCAAAAAATGATTCAACCCATCTCGCCCCGTTTTTAAAAGTGGATTAAAAAACTCGTTCCGCCCTCCATATGTTGCGGGCGAGGTGGGCTGGCCCGTCGGGCACCCGTTTTGAACGTAAAATTAAAAATAAATAAATAAAAAGAATTATGCAAGTTGACAGATTAGCTCGGTTGGCGGGTTGATAAACTTGACTCACCCGTCAAACCGAAGTCTCGTTTTGCCACCTCTACTCCACTGTAATATAACATTTGAATTTTAAATTATAAAAGTCAATGTATTTGACAGAATTATATTAAAAGAAATGAAAAAAATCAATAATAGTTTAAATTCGAGTTAATATGTTCAAGTACAAAAATTAGACTCAAAGAAATATTTTATTATTTAAGCTAAATAAAAAATTATAATTTTTTATTCGAAATCTCCATTCATAGTTATAATAAAACTAATAGAGAATAAACAATACTTATATGAAAATAATTGAGATTTGAATTACTTTATTTAAATTATGATGAGTGAGGATAATCCCTATATTATTGTTAAAAAAACACACAGATATTTTATTATTTGAAATAAATTAAAATGATTTTGGGTGAAATTTAATTGAATTATGAGTTTTAAAATTATAATTAAAATAAATAAATAATATAAATATATTAAATAAGAGTGAGATTAAAGAAAAAAAAAGTCTCTCATATGACTGACATGTGGTATCGCTTTTTTTGTACCGATTTTTTTAATACAATAAGAAATAAATGGATATATAATTTGATAAATGTAAACGTTACACTCTGCTGGATATGATCGATTGATATATAATTTGCATGTATCTTATATCAAACTAAACTAATGAATCAGTTTAATATTATCGCAAGCGATCTAGAGATTTTTATTTTATTTTACTTGAATTAATTATGTATATGTCTTTTATAATTTTTATTTAATTTTATACTTTTTTCATGTAATCATACGTTTAGTTTAAAAGAATCCGCTATCTATTATTTTTTTACATGTAAATATTTATGAATGCCTTGTATTTTTTAAATTGATTCTTTTTTAAATTATTTTTTCTTGAATTTTTGTTTTAACTTATAAAGGCATTATAATTTTAATAAAACATTTATTTAAGTAATATGTAAATGTAACAGATCGTTATGTTACTTTTATAGCTATACATTTCAATAGAAGGCAAACTTTGAAGTTTGAATAACAAAAGACTTAAAGATAAAACTTCAATATAATTATTGTAATAAAGGAAAGTTAAATACTCCTTTATAATCTGATTTTCGCATTTATGGGTTGGAAGCTTAGACCTTGTGATAAAACAGCCACATGCTCTAAAGTCTAACCAACTCAGTTACTCTACCTTTTTTAATGAATAATATAAGTGACACTTAATTGTTTTAAGACAGCTTGACCATCAAATGGAATCAAACTAAATTTATTTTTGCCTTTATTTTATATTCAGTTGAAGGAAGTAAATTTTCAATATCTCAACCCTCGAATGTTTTTCAAATAGCAATAACCCTAATAAGACGAGGGGTATACAGGTGTTTTTATGTTTTATTTTAAATATGAATACCATTATTAGACTTTAATATTTCAACTTTAATTTCAATATAAAAAATGTTTGTTTTAGAAATATATTCATAATTTTATAACTTTTTGTGGCTGATGTGTAATATCTTCTTATGTTATCTTTATAAAGACAAATAATTTGATATTTTACCAAAAATATTATACAAAAATAAAAAATATAGAATTACTTGTATTGATCTTATTTTTAAATATTTATAATTTTTTTTAAAAAATACACTTGTGTGAATCTTTCCAATAAAAATAAATAAAAGGAAAAATCATAGACAGCTTACCAACCATTCCAACACAAACTACACGGCACGGGTAATGTTAATGCTGATTTGTATTTTGTTGATTGTGACTGCCTGTGGCAGTTTTGCAATTTATTGTATATATTTATTTATTTTTTGGTACAATTTGATTGTATAGTTTGTGGGCAGATGAAAAGATATTTTTTTAATTTTATTTTCTATGGTTCTTAAATTCTAGTTATTGCTTATTTATGCATGATTTTAATGAAAAGATATTATTAAGGTTAATAAATTTAAATGGCTAATTATGCTTATAAATGAAAACATGATATAAGAGCTTGGTAGAGGCAAAAATATTTGGGCAACATGATTTTTAAGTAAAAAACTCCAGTTCTGATTGACATTATGAACGTTTAAAAATTGAGTTTATCGAACAATAGCAGTAACGAAAGAAAGATAATGTGATCCCCTAGAATCAAGCAATTCAGCGAAAAGGGAAGGTGAGAGAGAATGGTTTAGTTAAGAAAAAATCGGAGGAGAGAGAGGGTGGCTTTCATTATACTCAAATTCGTTATACTGCACTGCTACAACAACATTCTGAATTCTGATAGAGAAACGACCTTGTTAGACTTTGAGGCTCTCTGCCCACAGCAACCTCACGCACTCTCTCTCTCTCTCTCTCTCTCTATAATCTATAGAAGATGGAATTTTAGCATCCCAACGAGACTCCTATAGATAACTGTGTACATTGTGCACCCGAGTCTGCGCAGCTTCTTTGAAAGACCAAAAAGATTACGTTCTGCCTTTTGTTTACCATTCCAGTGATTCTTCTTCTCCAACCCCATCACCAAAAGGTTTAACCTTTTCAAGCTTTTCCACTCCAACCCAACCCATGCTAGATAAACAGATACAATACAAGCAAAACTATTGTCTCTGTCCCTGACTTTACTATCACAAAGAAAGTTATGAAAAGACGATGCTATTGCTAGCTACTCTCTCTCTCTCTCTCTTCCATTTTTAGTATAAATATCCACCGTTCCACCTTGTTGTGTTTTGAGGAAATAGCTTCAAGCTTCTATTTTTTGAAATGGGTTTGCTGGGGAACTTGGAATGGGTGAATGCTTACGGCAAGAAGCGTTGCAGGAGCTTGTTTTGGAGAATGCGGGCTGCTGTTAAGAAAGCGTTGAAGAATGGGGGCAATAAGCAGCACCTCAAGTTCCAATATGATCCTTCAAGTTATGCACTCAACTTTGATGATGGATGTTGCCATCTCAGGGATGCGGCAAGGAAATTCATGGGAGATGCACGACTCCAGGAGCTCACAGACATCAACAACACAACCTGGGTTTATGTCTTTTTGGTCAAAACCAAGTGACCCCCTTGCTTTCTTAATTGAGGTCATTTTCTCATGTTTGGTATTTTTATGTTCTTTTATGTTTCGAGGATCTTGTTCTAATCCCTTGTGTTAGTGTACTGTACATCCTTGACTTGTGTCATGAGCTACTACAACACTCATTGCTTTACATTCTTCACTTGTGTCCTCAGCTAAACAACGATTCTACATAGTAACAGTTGGTGAAATGAAATTGGGTTCTCGGTTGATTAAAATTATGTCATGTTATCATAAAACGTAATTATAAATGTCATTGAAATTATAAAAAAACAATTATTAGATTTTCAAACTGTATCTAGTCCAGTTTCAACGAATCGTAATGCATGTTAAATTGGTCTCTGGAGAAAGCAGGCACGCGTTTTCTTCACCTTTTGTCAGAAAAATGTGTCTTTCATTAATGAGGCAGAGCATCGAAGTGAAGATAGTTGTAACGGTCCGCCATAAATACGCAACAGAATACCTTAACAATTGTAACTTCAGAAAAGAATCGATGACTGTATTAACAATCTTGTTGTACAACGGTATAAAACCACTTCAGCAGCTATATAGGATAAAATAAAAGGGACACCAAATTTAACAAATATCTTTCCGTTAAAGTACACACAATTTTTAATGCCAATGACCACAATATCTTCATCTAGAACCTAAAAGCTACAAATTGGACACTGAAACGTCCACAAGTGTTCAAACAGCAGGATCTTCTAATATAGCTGTGGACAGATCATTTATGCGAGGATAAGCAGCTTTCTCACCCAGCTGGTTTTGGGTCCATATCAGCATCTTCAACAAGCTTGGAAGTTTTGGGTCTGATGCAAAAAATCCAAACAATGTTACCAGATTCTGGAGGCATTATCAAATTATTCATACGATGAAAAATATAGCTGAGTAAGTTGAAGTTTTGTAACAGTTTCGAAACAACAAACTATCTTCATGGAACATTGGAACGTAAAACAAATACAAACAAGTGCAAAGAGAGACCAGTGGGCAAAAGTGCACAATTATAACCTAAAGAAAAGAAAAAAAAGACCAGCCACACAATCAAACATGCATACATACAATACCTTGAACCCAATTCTTCACCTTAGCATTTGTTGTCATCCTTAAACATAATATACTTCAAAACCCTCGTGTTATTGGGGTGAATCTGGCAAAGCTTCTGTTATGTTCCCAAATTTTACAATACAACAGTTGCTATTCAATAAACCTTATATCTCAATCAAGAAAAAACTTATAGGAATACATATAAATTACACACATTCCTTTGGTACTTAAATATGACAAACAAGATTTAAAACCAGAGTCAGCTTACCCAAGTTATATATCCTAAGAAACATATTTCTGTAGCAAACACAAACCTTTTTCATGACTTTGGCTTGTGAGTATGGCCGCATTCACCTCGCTTGCTGTCTTTAGACGCTGTGATATGTCAAGAAGCTCTCCAACAGGACAGTTAGAGACATCTTCAAAGGCAAGCAGTGCAACAGTCCTCTCCAACTCTTCTAAAAAGCTTTGCTGGAATCCAAATTTCGGGCAAGTGTTAACAACAAGTCCGTGCAACCAATTACATAAATTTTTCCACAATAACAATTTATTTTCCCATTTTGTATTTTTCCTAACTACAGGCAGTCAAAGTAAATTAATGGTGGAATCAATTAACATATTAATAAAAAGGCCAAGAATACTTCGCTAATAAGGATATTATATGAAAAGGAGAGATGAAAAAATTCATTAGATGAGATTTACATTTTCCTCTCCCCTTGGTGCAAGCTCCTCCTGCGCAAACTCTAAAGCTTCTTCTACTTTTCCATTTCGGATTAGTTCTATCAGCCGTTGCTGTTGAAGATGGAAAAATAATTGGGGATTTGTGTCCAGTATCTGTAGACAGTATTATTAAATGAATATTAAGTTTATAAAATAGATGAATACGAAGGGGATGAATTAATGCTATGATGAGTGCAAAAATGTTTTGTATTTGGTGCTCATAATGGTTTTAAGAATGAGGTAAAAAAGGTAGCGAAGACAAAAAAAAGGAAACTATCAGCAAGAAACAAATGTATGAAATAAAATGAAAAAACTTAGTAGTAAGAAATAACTCGAACATAACCGCACAATTTATATGCAAGTCATATTGCCTTTGTCGGTGATATACTTATGTTGGTCATGTGGTGTTAAGCAAGTGAGGATAGTTGGGTAAGACACAGCAAGATAACCAAATAAAAGAGGCTGCATCACCACTCTATTTGGATTCTGCATCAAACACCCCCCCACCCCAAAGGAAAAAAAAAATTCCCCAAAAAGAAGCAAAACATACGCATTTAGTGTACAAGACAAGTGCTCTGTTTCCTTGTCAACATGGGGACAACATTGTAATATCACTACATGTATCAATGCCTTAGAAAAGTGGATGTCTAATTATCTAGCCCGTAAATCAATAAATACATGGACCACATTCATGAATAATGCATCCATTATGTGCATAGTACATTAAAAATAAAAGGAGTCTGAGATACATTCATACATAGAATTGAATTTTATAAAATACTAAAAAAAAGTGGGAAGCTTACCTCGGGATTTAAATCATTCACTTTTTCGATTGCATCCTCAACATTACCACTTTGTACTGCCTTCTTAACAGCCATGCGATCAGTGATTGTTGCAAGATCTATGTCTGCTGTATATCAATAAGGACAATCATAGCTTGATAATGAAGATGATCTCATGCCAAACAAAAAAAGGAAAGACAGAAATCAAAAAAGGATACGTTCAGTTCCAGACTCCATTCGGAATTTCTCTGCAGCTTCAACATAACCCTCAGTGACAAGGAAATTCATTACCAATTTATTCATGTCTTCTTTTCTAATCCTCACATCATTAAGCTTCTTCTCCCATTCTTCTCTTGTCATCACCTTCTTCGATGCCGCCTTCACACAAAATTTCACAAACAAAAATCATTAGAATGCCACTGCCAATGGATGAATGTATTTTATAAATTCATCATTTCTATGTATGAATGTATACCGGAGTTACTGTACTTCCATGCAGTGTGCATAACATTGTCTACAATCAGTCCATATACAGTAATACTTCCAGCAAAATGACTAAAGTTGACTCCAAATACAACACCATACTTCCCTTTATAATTTTGTTGAGTAACATAATAATATGTAAAAAAAAAAAAAAAAAGGACCTTGCATGGTAAATTCATCTCCTGCCACAGCATTTCTACTCTAGAAATTAAGAATCCAAATGCTAGCCATCAGTAGTTAAGTACAATATGAAGTACTGGTGCTTCTGAAAATGTAGGAGAAATTAACATACAAAATAGAACAAATCTGAGCTATCTATCTGAATCTGTTTACAATCACATGGAAAGAGAATGGAAAACAAAACATCGTAAGCTCTTGAATTAAGAAAATTTCAGATCCTTTTCACCACTCACGTTAAAAACAAATAAAAAAAATATAGTATCCACAAATAAAGTTGGGGGGAAAAATAGAGAGAGAAAGTCAAATACCATAGCCTCGAATTCTGCGAGCTGACGAATCACCAGCAAGAACAATGACATCAGTGCACCCTCTTAAACCCCATTTTAACCCTAAACGACACAGGACGTTCCTCACCTGAAAATCCGAACAAAAGCACCAAAACTGCAGCTCGCAAATCAGCATCAATAATTCAAATAAAAACGGACACATTTCAAATTTCTACATCCTTCCAATCAATAATTTTAAAAACAAAAATTTAGTCGTCAAAACCCAAGTCGTAACCCTGTTTACACAGGGGTGAAACAAATTCCACAGGTGAAAGGGAAAAAGAGAGAGTGAGAGAGAGAGAGTAGGAAGTGAATTTACCGCAAAATTAATTTCGAGGAATGGAGTGACTGTGGCTGCGATCCCTTCCCTTCAACTTCTTAGATCGTACGGAACACAATCCTGCGTTCTGGACTCTGCTTCGACGTCTCCTTGGGTTCCGACCCGCTTCGTTTATTACCCGTTCCCATATCTGGGCCGGGTCTCAACTTTATATCCAGGCCTTGAAAAAGCCCGCTCCAACACCCATTGAATAAGCAAATAAACACTGTTTTTTTTTTTTGGAGATTAAATAAACACCGTTTCTTAAGGATTTGTGCAGTAATATAAAACTATGTCGTTTTATAATGTGAAAGTATTAAATTCTGAGAATAATAACCATACAAAGGTAGAAATAAATATAAAGTATTAAATATGGAGAATCATAACCATACAAATGTATAAATAAATGTAATATTTTTATTTGCTACAATTAATTTTGAACGCGAAATTCTTTTATTCCACAAAAAACGACGTAGTTTTTAGGTGACTGCACCAATGCTTATATGCAGTTACATTACAAATCATTTTGCCTATATATATATATAAAAGTGAGATAAAACTTTACATAAAATATTTGCATAATAATATTCCATGACTTGAGTAACTAGTACTTTCTCATTTGTTTCTATTTCCGTTCAAAATCTTATAGATAATTAAGATGCTGTAATCTATATTTATATTCCATCTCGAGGAATTACATAGAAACAGTAATATTATTATTGACTATCAACTGTCATATTTTTTTTTTTTTTTTTGATAACATTAAGGGGCGAAGCCCCAAACAAAAACAAACTAACAACCAGAAACAAAAAATAACTATCCAGGGTCTATATCCCTACAAGAGGAGATTCCCTGAAGATCGTGATCAAATAACTGAGCAAGGTGAAACGGCATAACTCTATGACTCTAGAATCCAGTATCTTTGTGAAGAGCAGACTTGGCTAACCAATCAGCACAGGAATTAGCTTCTCTTGGAATATGAGAAAGCGTTACCTCCCAATCCTGACCGATGAGTGCTTGTATCTTAGCCACTATACGAGGCTGACAAGCTGCATTGCAATCAGCAAGCAAAGAGAATACTTCAGAAGCATCTCCTTCTAGTTCCACCTTCTTAAATCCCAGTTGCCAAACCAATTCCAGACCTTTTAGAGTTCCCCAAAGCTCCGCCATTAAAGGAGTGCAAGCACCAATATGATACTCAAAGCCTCCCAACCAAGAGCCATCATCAGATCTGATAATCCCACCACAAGCAGCCACCTCAGTATTCCTTTTAACTGCCCCATCAATATTAATCTTCACCCAATTTAACCTTGGAGGTTTCCATAAACTCATACGAGTTGGATGAATGCTAGTAGTAACCATAGCCTTCCTACCCATGCAGTTACGAACTTCCTCTATATACATAGCAATTATGTGCGTTCCATGGGTTGGATGCTTGAAGTTAGTATCATGGACACTTTTGTTCCTCCATCCCCAAATGAACCAACAAGAGATAAAAAAGACATCACGCCAATCATCTGAATTACTTTGATTCCAAGCTTTTGAGATATTATTTTCAACCCAATCTCTAAGATCCAAGCTGTAGAATAAGCTTTGCCGATTAGCTGAAACCAGAGAATTCCAAACACTTCTAGCATGCTTACAATCTCTTAGAACATGGAGGTTTGTTTCCAACTCACCAGGACATATTTTACAATGACCAGATTCCCCACTCCATCTAGATGTGCGGTCTTTAGTAAGAAGGCGGCCATGCATTATGATCCACATACAAGATTTAACACGTTGAGGCCCATGCCATTTCCATATGGTAGTCCAAGAATTTTTCAACGGCATGAGAGGGAAACCAAGCATGTTATAATACGCGGTTTTAACTAAAGAGCAGCCAACCTTTTGATTTCTCCAAATAATGCGGTCATTTCCATCCGATGCGCTAGGAATGAGAGCAGCTTGGATCCTTGCAACAGCTTGATCATTGAGATATTGACGAATATAGGGAAAGTTCCATTGACCAGAATTGTTGTTCACAAAGGCACTAACAGGGAGATTCAACTCCAAACCAGTTGGAGTACGAGTAGCCAGAGAGGCAAGACACTCAGTTAAACCCAACCAATTGTCTGTCCAAAATAATGCATCATTACCGTCTCCAATCTCCCATTGCATTGCTTGAAGAAAAGATGGCCAAACACTACACAGATTTTTCCAGAAGTATGAGTCATATGCTTTATGATTTACTTCCCTCCGAAGATCCAAACCTCTCTTATATTTACTTGTTACAACTCGAACCCACAACGAATCGGGCGAAGTAAGTATCGTCCATGCAAGCTTGTGAAAGAAAGCCATATTTTGGACACGAAAGTTAATCACCCCTAAGCCACCCATGCTCTTAGGCTTGCAAATATTATCCCATGCAACCAGATGAGATCTCCGTTGACCATTTTTATCACCCCAAATAAAGGCACGCTGCAACTTCTCTATTTCATCACAAATGGCTACAGGAAGCAGACTGTGTTGCATTTGAAATATAGGAGTTGCTGAAATAACGGAGTTGGAAAGTGTAATTCGACCGGCAAAAGATAAGACCTGGTTACTCCAACCAGATAACTTGTGCCTAATTCTTGCAACAACATCAGCATAATGGTCTTTGGTTACTCGACCATGTTTCATCATTGACCCAAGATATCTCCCTATATTGTGAGTTTGCTTGAAGCCACACACATTTGTGATATCATCTGCAATGTGAGCATCTGTATTTTTCGAGAAAAAAATACTAGATTTCGGAATACTAACCTTTAGGCCAGACATTGAACTAAAAGTCTCCAAGCAATCCACTATAACTTTGATTTGATCTAGAGAAGCTTCTGCAAACAACATCAAATCATCAGCAAACATCAGATGGGCTATCTTAGGACCTTTTGATCCCACGGAGATTGGCTTCCATCTCTTATTGTCAACCGCATCTTGAATGAGATGAGACAATTTTTCCATGGCTAGAACAAAAATGTAGGGAGATAAAGGATCACCCTGACGAACTCCTCTTGAAGGAAGGAAATCACCTGCAATGGCTCCATTCCAAAGCACTGAGACCTTATCAGAGTTGATACAATTCATTATAATATTTGTGAACCAGTGTGGGATTTGAATTTCATCCAAAATTTTACGAACAAACTCCCAATTTAACATATCATAAGCCTTTTCCAAGTCGATTTTAATTGCCATGAAACATTTTCTTCCTCTCATTCTACGCATTGAATGGATCAGCTCTTGGGTGATGATGATGTTGTCCTGGATATGTCGTTTAGGAACAAAACTAGCTTGGAAGGGAGACACCATCTCTTCCATTAGGGGCTTCATTCTGTTAACCAGAATTTTACTGAGGATTTTATAAATGACATTGCACAAAGAGATTGGTCTGAGCTGCTTAGCACTTTCAGGTCTCTTTACTTTTGGAATGAGGACCAGAAGAGTCGAGTTCACAAGGTGAATCAGATTGGGATTCTGAAACATCATGTTAACATCCTTAATAACATTAGTCTTAATAAGACTCCAATTCTTATGAAAAAAGGCAGCTGGAAAACCATCTTCCCCTAGAGCTTTTGACCCATTGATACTAAAAACAGCTTTTGAAATTTCGTCATCCGAAAGATTACGAGTCAGATTAGATAGCAGATCATCGTGCAGAAGGGGCCAAGTAGTCTTTGATTTCACCCAATCTCGATTAAGGACTTCCTCACTAAACAAGTTGCTATAGAAATCTGTTACCAATTGATGAAGTTGTCTAGCTTCCTTCACCCAAATCCCATCAGAATTTTTTAACTCAAGAATCCTATTCGAACTTCTTCGAGTAGCTGTTTTAAATAGAATTTGGTGTTTCTATCCCCATCATTTATCCATTTCACCCTGGCTTTT